CTCTTGAAATGGTTGAACATTAACCATTTCCTTTTGGTACAGTGACTCTGTGTATTCCTTCCATCTTCTCCTGGTGCTTTCTGCATCATTCAATAATTTGCCCAGAGAATCTCATGGATATTATCCTATCACAGACAGTGTTGTCCCTCATGAGTGATCTGGATATGTTCATTTTGACGATGAATGCAATACCATTCCTCTTCAGTTTGTCATTCCCGGCATAGTAACCATGTGGTTGTCAGATTCAAAATGGCCAGTACCAGTCCATTTCAGCTCACTAATGCCTTAGATATCGATGTCTATGCATTCCATTTCATTTTTGACAACTTCCAATTTTCCCAGATTCATAGTTCGTACATTCCATGTTCTGATTTTCAATGGATGTTTACAGGTGTTTCTCTTCATTTTGAATTATGACCCATCAGCAAATGAAGGTCTCAAGGGCTTTACTCCCATGGGTTTTACTCCATTCATGTCATCATGGTCAACTCTACTTTGAGGAGGCAGCTCTTCCCTAGTCACATTTTGAGTGTCTTCCAACCTGAGGGGCTCATTTTCCGTCACTGTATCTGACAGTGTTTCTCTGCTATTCATAAGGTTTTCAGTGATTAAGTATTCGGAAGTAGTTCATCACTCTTTCTTCCTAGTCTGTCTTAATCTGTTAGCTCATCTGAAACCTGTCCACTATTGGTGACCCTGCTGGTATTTAAAATACTGGTGACATAGCTTTCAGAATCACAACAACTCACAAACCACCACAGTATGACAAACTGACAGATGAGTGGCAGCCATTTTAGACTAGAAGTTGGTAAAAAATTTTCAATTTCTTCATCTTTGACATGAGTGGTTGGTTCATAAATTTGAATAGTATTTGCATTAACTGATGTTTCTTGTAGGCATATAGATATTATCCTGTCACTGACAGCATTGCATTTCAAGCTAGACATGTTTTATTGGAGCTTCCAAACTAAGACAGATCAATATAGACCTAGCAGTCTACTTCTGAAATGATTTACCAGTGATTACCTTATGGATGTTGTTGTGCCTTACAGTCGGTTCCGACTCATAGCGACCCTGTACAGGGTTTCCGAGGGTGTAAATCTTTACGGGAGTAGAAAGTCCTATCTTTCTCCCGTGGAACAACTGGTAGTTTCGAACTGCTGACCTTGTGGTTCGCAGCCCAATTCGTAACCACTACGCTACCAGAGCTCCTTTACCTTATGGATAGAAGCAGAATATTGTCTGATACTACTGAGGAAGAGCTGCCTCCTCAAAACAAGAGTCTACCTTAATATTATGTGAATGGAGTAATGCTTTAATTTGCTGATGTGAGGTAACTCAAAATAAGAACCTAGGAACAAACATTGAAAAGAGACAAGACTGTTTCCCCAGAACTTAAGAGAGAGAGAGAGAAAGCCTTCTTTCCCCTAGAGCCAGCACCCTAAATTCAGACTTCTAGCCTTCTAAACCATGAGAAAGTAAGTTTCTGTTGGTTAAAAGTACCCACCTGTGGTATTCTGTGATCGCAGCACTAGATAATGAAGACAGTCTTGTCTTTTGAAAACCCTTCAATTGTCTTTAGCTTAAATGATCTTTCACCAAGATTGAAGAGTTATTTTCATTTTCTTCCAATCATTTTAGTTCAATTTTTCATAATTAATTCCCTTTTTATTTCCTAAATACTGAATTAGTTTATTAACTGTGTTGGGACATAAGCCAAATGTCATTAAATGCTTCCAACCTAATATAATAGACCTGGATTCTCAGGGATTCTCAGGGGGAGTGCTGTCATCCTCAAGAGGTGGCTTCCATTTCTGGGTCTAAGTCATTTACTCTGTTACCATTTTCAGCTGTGGGAAGGGAAAGAAAGAATGAGGCAGGCAAAAACGTTTCCTTAAAAATAACCTGTTCTTGAAGTTTCACACTTCACTTCTTCTTGTGTTCCATGATTAAAAGTTAATAATATGGCTACATCTAGGAAGACAAGAGGCTGAGAAAACTTACCAGGGTAATCATGTGTTCAACTAAATTTGGGGCCAGGAAAGAGGTAGTGTTTCTTGTTATAGAGGGAAGAAATGGGAGAGAGAATGTAGACACTGGAAGACATTTGGTAATTAGTATACTTTTTTGGTACCATTTATAGATTTTTGGTTTTTTCACTACTGATTCATAATTTCACTTTTAACATAGGCACTTTAACACTTTAATATAGATGAGGATTTATTTCTAAATTCTTTTGTTATCGTGTTCTTTTTTTTGTGTGTGTGGCCTACCACACCGTTATAATTATTATCATTTTACAATGCTGTGTAATATAGTAAACCAAAGACCTTTCTTCATGTATTCTCAGTTCCTACCATTTTATTGTAAAGGCTTTCTACTGGAGTTTAAGTGTTTTTATCATTCATTAATAACATTATTTGAACACAAATAATATTCTTAATAATTGTAAGAAGAGCAAACCAATCTGTTTTGGAAGAAGTATAGCCTGAATACTCCTTAGAAGCCATGATGGAGAGACTTCGTCTCTCTAACTTTCGCCATGTTGTCCAGAGGGACTGACCACTCCCTAGAGAAGGACATCATGTTTGATAAAGTGGAGGATCAGTGAAAAAGGGGAAGACCCCCTGTCGGGGACCCGCCTCGACATTGGGGTTCAGTTCACGAGGAGAGGATACCTGACGGCGATTCATATATATCAAGAATACACAGAAAGAGACTAAGGAGACAAAGAGAGAGACAAAGAGGCACCCCAAAGCCAGGGTGGATACATCACTGATAGGCAAGCTTGGGACTACAGGCATCGTGGCCTCTGCAGGCAGCAACTCACTGCCCTGCAATCTTTACTGCATGCCTTCCAACCCGTAATGCACTGCAATCTTTACTCCATGCCTCCCAACCAGTAATGCACTGATCTTTACTCCATGCCTGCCAACCAGTAATGCACCACTATCTTTACTCTATGCCTGCCAACCAGTAATGCACACCTGGGGAGGCCCGGGCCTCTGCTTTATTCAGGGGAGGAGCTTCACACCAAGCTGGGAGGGACTTAGGCAAGGTACAGCTAACATCAGTACTTTTCCAGACATTCAGGTAACTTTACATAGTACTTCACTGGTTTGAATCCCAGGCCAGCAACTTGGATTCTCAGGCCCAATTAACATATCTATAGCCCCTGAGCTAAGGTGGGGGAAGGTGAGAGATAAAGACAAAAGCTTGGGCGGAGTCCTGCTGCTTTGGCTTCCTGAGCCAGGTCTGCAGGAGGACTCCAGAAGCCCAGGTGAATGGGCTGCACCTGGAAAAGGATTAGGGAGGATGGGTTCTTTGTCTATGGAACAAAGAACTGTGAAGTAGCTAAGACATTTTTAGTTAATCCTTTGGAGAAAGGCTTAACCTTGCAACCTTTAGTCTTGGCTTTAGGAAAATACCACATTTATCTATGGATTGTCAAAGGCTCCAGTGTATTAATTTAATATATATACCTGAATATTAATATGAAAGCAATTTGCCATTAACTGCCAGTGGCCTCATTTGTTACACTCGGCCCTAGAGGGCCTCGAACCTCTGACTAGTCTTACACAGTCTGCAACAACCCCCCATGAGATGGATACCGTAGCAACAACAATGGGTTCAAGCACAACGATTGTGAGGACAGCACCGGGCCAGGCAGTGTTTTGTTTGGTTGTGCATGGGGTCACTATGAGTTGGAATCAACTCAACGGCACCTAACACAACAACAAATATTATTAATAATAATAGCTATATTTTTTGAAGATTCGCTATCTGCTAGGCACACTCTAATACTTTATTAAGTCTTTACAGTGAGCTGTGGGTCAAGTGGTGGTGGTGTAGTTGTGTGCCATGGAATCGTTTTGAACTCATAGCAACTCTATACAGGGCTTCCATGTAAATCTTTATGGAAGTAGAATGCCTCATCTTTCTCCTGCGAAGCAGATGGGAGTTTAGAACAGCTGATCTTGACATTAGCAATGTGACTTGTAACCACTACGCTGCCAGAGCTCATGTGGGCCAAGGACTATTAGCATATCCCCATTTCACATATTATGAAACTGAGACCTAGAAAGGTCTCAACAGCAGTTGGTGGGGGAGCCAGTTCAAATCTATGTGATTTTGATACCAAAGCCTATGCTCTTAATTGCTACATTGTATTAACCTTCTGTCTTTCATATTTATTGTAAATAATTTTTCTGGCTTGTCATTTGCTTTCTAATTTTGCTTATGCTAATTTCATGTTAGTAAATTTAAAATCACAATTATATGTATCCATATAAATATATTATTTTAATACAGTCGACAGATATACTGGTCGGCCCTGTATAGATTTTTTGGATGACCCTGATCAGTGGAATTCAGACTATAAATTGAGCAGCATCTTACTTACTCTCCAGGTAAGAAGAGATCATTATAATGTTCTCATTAATACTTTTAATTACTCCAGTTACTCAAACTATAAAGAATAAAATGTACGGGCATATTTAAATGTTTAAATGGTTGTTGTTACTAGGTGCCATCGAATGGGTACAACTCATAGAGACCCTATGTACAACAAAATAAAACCTACCTAATCCTGCATCAGCCTCATCATTGTTGGTATATATTTGAGCTCCTTGTTGCAGCCTCTGTGTCAAACCATCTCATTGAAGACCTTTGTCTGTTTGCTAAACCTCTTCCAAGCATAATGTCCTTCTCCAGGGACTGATCACTCCTGATAACATGTACAAAGTACATGAGATGAAGTCTCACCATCCTCACTTCCAAAGAGCATTCTGAATGTACTTCTTCCAAGACAGATTTGTTTCTTCTTCTGGCAGTCCATGGTACTTTCAATATTTTTCACCACCACCATAATTCATAAGCATCAATTCTTATCTAGTCTTCCTTATTCAATATCCAGCTTTCACAGGCATATGAGGTGAATTAAAATACCATGGTTCAAGTCAGGTGCACCTTAGTCCTCAAAATGATACCTTTGCTCTTTAACACTTTAAAGAGATCATTTGCAGCAGATTGGTCCAATGCAGTATGTCATTTGAGTTTTTGACTGGTGCTTCCATGAATGTTGATTGTGTGTCCAAGTAAAATGAAATCCTCAACAACTTCAATATTTTCTGTATTTGTCATGGCATTGCTTATTGGTCAAGTTGGGAGGTTTTTTGTTTTCTTTAAATGATGTTGTTGTTGTTATGTGCCATCAAGTCTATTCCAACTCAGAATGACCCTGTATAGGGTTTCCAAGGAGTGACTGGTGGGTTTGAACTGCTGACCGTGAGGTTAGCAGTCCAATGCTTATATTACATCATCACACAAGGACTACTTAACACTTTTGTTGTTGTTGTTACATGCCATCCAGTCAGTTCCGACTCATAGCGATCCTGTATAGGATATCTGAGTCTGTAAATCTTGGTGGGAGCAGAAAGCCTCATCTTTCTCCCATGAAGCAACTGGTGGGTTCTAATCACTGACCTGTGGTTCATTGTTCAGTGTGTATCCTACAGAGCCACTGTGATCCATTTAAATGATTGTTGTTGTTGCTGTTGTTAAGTGCCATTGTCGATTTCAACTCATCATGACCCTGTATAAGGTTTCTAAGAAGAGGCTGGTGGGTTTGAACCGCCAACCTTGCAGTTAGCAGTACAATGCTTATACTACAGCACCACACCAGGATGCTTAGAGCAAAGGTATTTAACTCAGTAACTTTCTTTCTATATCAAGCCATAAAATATAACTTGAATCATAAAGACAGTTATTTAAAATTGAGTCATAGATAATGTTCCTCAGAATTGAAACCTTATATATTGTTTTCATAAATATTTTACCAAAGAAGAATAAAATAGTTTGAATGGTTTCAATTATAGAAATATGTTGTTGTTATTGTTAAGTGGAGTCAGTTGCAACTTATATCAACCCTGTATATGGTTTCTGAGGAGCGGCTGGTGAGCTTGAACCAGCGTTTAACACATAGCACCACACCAGAAATATGTTCTTAGTTTTCTCTTGGTTTCTAATGCTACCCCTTAATGGTTCCTAGTCATTTAAACCTTTCTTCATTTATGGATTTTGCCTTCCTCAGAGACGTGAAAAAGGAGCCCTGGTAGTATAATGGGGTACCAGCTGGGCTGCTAACTACACGGTCAGCAGTTGAAATCTACCAATTGCTTCACAGGAGAAGGATGAGGCTTTCTTCTGCTGTAAAGATTTACAGTCTCAGAAACATCATACAGGGTCACTGTGAGTCAGAATCGACTCAACAGCACACAACCACCACAAAAAGGGAGGTGCAAAGTGACAGCCACTTACAATGTCCAGCTTTATCCTTTGTTTTTCACTGTACCAGTGAACAATGAAAAGGACTTTGCCTCCCCTCACTTAGATGCCTGTTTCCAGAATGCTCTTTTCACCACTTAGGTGCACTGTTCTGGGGCGGATGCTTCATTGTTGTGCTGTCCCAGATCATAAATGAATCTCTCATCTGATAAACGATTTGAGTGGCACTCACTTTGATCACTAACATCCAGCTCAGTGATATTCTACCCATGGACCTATTTATTAATAATATCCACGATATTAAAATACTACATTTTGATTTTCTGGACCAGTTTGAGAATAAAATATTCTGGTTTAATTGAATTTTATCAATCACCTAAAATTATAAGACAAGTTCCATTTCCCCTTTCTTTATTTTGGAAAATGAATTCTCTGCTTAGTTATCTAAGCATACTGAGTAAAATAATATATTCTTTTATATATATATATTTTTTGTTGTTGTTGTGGATTGAGTGAAAGTTTACAGGGCAGATCATCAGTTTTACATTCAACAAATCATACACCTTGTTTCATTGCAATGATTATAATTCCCTCCATGTACCATCAGTTAATAGTATTTCTCTCTATTCACTTTAGCTCTTTTTAAAAAACAACAAAAAACACACTCAGGCATATATAATAATTTACATCTCCAAAGGGTACATTCTACAAGTCTGCCTCCTGGCCACCAGCTCTTAGTCTCTCTCTTCCTCAATATTTTCTTTTTAATATATTCCTCAATATATTCTTTTAAAAAGATTTAACATTCAGTTTACCCATACACTCAACAAACATATGACAGGTCTTGTTCTAGGATGGGTATATTCCAACAAAGATTTAAAGGAAATGAAGATGGTATGAAGATGAGTCCCACTCCTGTCTCTTCCATGTAATCTAGAGTCTATGACAAGAACAATAAAAGTGAAGTTTCACACATTGTAATGAGTGAAGGCAAACCAGAATGAGCTGGTGAAAACGGCATTTCCAGAATCATCTAACAAAAGATAGCCTTGGACCTCCAAGGTTAGGTTGCTTGGCTTCATATCCTGGTTCTGTCACTTCATGTCTCTGGACCCTTGGATAAGTTTCTTCATTTTGCATGCTTTAGCTTTTTCATCAATAAAGTGGACTTTTATTAGTAGCCACCTCATATGACTGTTGTGAGGATTGAAAGAATTGACATATGAAAGTACTTACAATGATGGCTGGTCCAAGAAATAAACTCACTAAAAGCTAGTTAATATCAAGATTCTTATTGCTAGTCAGTAGTGATGTAAAATGACAACAAAGTGTTGCTATTTAAATAGCTCATGCAGGGCAAGTGGATGACATGGTTGCTTTATTTTTCAAGTAAATTTATAAAATAAATATGCCTACATCACAGATTTTTAAGATAATGGGAAGGAAAAGAAAATCACTGATAAGCATAAAAACTCAAAGCTTGCTGTTATTAACATTTCCTTCTGATCTTCTTTACTGTTTTTCTGTTTAAAATCCTTCAGTGGTTCCCTCATTGTCTGCAAGATTAAGTGCAAATTCCTTAGCATGACAAATGATAATCTGCTTCTTCTCACACCTGGGCTTCCAACTCTCTCTAACCCACCATGCAACCCTCTCTTATTTATATCCTCATTCTTTTTCCCCCCCCCCCTCACATTACTAGGTTAAAGTAAAAAAGCACTTAAAAATTTGAGACTATAGAGTTTCAAAGTGTTCAGTCTTGTGCCCTGTCTGACTGGGAACCCATTTTCTCCTTCCTTCTTCACCTTAAGTCTGTCTGGCAAACAGCTGCTCACTTTGTATAAGTCTCTTCAAATGAACCCTCCACTGGGATGTCTTCCCAATATGTTTTTTTCACCAAATAGAATTGATGAGATGACTTTGTTTGGGGGTGTAGGGAGAGGCTTCCTTGCCACCTATCCAGTGACTGACACCCTAAGCAGACGCCTATCAGAGCACTATAATACTGTAATAAGGAACCCTGGTAGTGCATCTGTTAAGTGCTTAGTTACTAATAGAAATGCAGGTGATTTGAACCTACCCACAGCTCCTTGGGAGAAAGAACTGTTAATCTGCTACTGTAAGGTTATAAAGCAAAATAAAAACAAACCCCCCCAAACCAAAAACCCCCTCCGGAGCAGTTTTACTCTGTCATGAGGTCACTATGAGTTAAAATCAAGTTGGTAATACCTAACAACAATACTGTAATGCATATATTATTTTCTCATCTGTCTTCTACTATTGGACTTCAACTTACCAGAGGTCAGAAAACATATCAAATTAATCTGTGATTCCCTACCCAGCACCTATGCAGGATAGTGCAGTCATTTAGTAGGTACTGGGAATCCTGGTGGCACTGTAGGTTAGGCACTGAACTGCTAACTACTGAGTTGGCAGTTCAAACCCACCAGCCCCTTGGAAGGAGGAAGATGAGGCTTTCTGCTCCGGTAAAGGTTTATAGCCTCGGAAACCCTCTATAGGGTGACTATGAGTTAGAATCGACTGGATGTCAGTAGGTTTGGTGGTACATAGAAAGGAGCCCTGGTAACACCGTGGGATAAAAATTCAGTTGCTAAAAGAATGATTGTTGGTTCACATTTATCAGTTGTTCTACAGGAGAAAGATGTGGTTGGCTGTCTGCTCACATAAAGATTGAGTCTTGGAACCCTAAGGAGCAGTACTATTCTGTCCTCTACGGTTGCTTTGAGTTGGAATCAACTCAATGGCATTGAGTTTTGGTTTTGGATTGGTGATATGATACATAAAGAAGCGCTGGCAGTGCAGTGGGTTAAGCATTAGGCTGCTCATCACAAGGTCATTCATTCAAACCTGCCAGCCACTCTACAGGAGAAAGATGAGGCTGTGCGCTCCTGTAAAGAAGTATAGTTTATGAAACCATAAGGATCAGTTCTACTCTGCTTTAGCATCCATTTGAGTTGGAATCAACTTGATGGCAGTGGGTAGATGATATATAAAGGAGTCCTTGTGGTGCAGTGGTTAAGTGCTCAACTGTTAACCCAAAGGTCAGCAGTTCAAAACTACTAGATGCTCTGCAGGAAAAAGAAGTGAATGTCTGCATCTATAC